TATGTGTATGTTGCCCTCAGCAAGAAATCCATCAACAACATTATGAAGCTTCATAGGAGAATTAAAAAAAAAAAAAAAAAAGAAAAAAATTCCAGCTGAAAGATGTGAACATTTCTCTTCTGCACAAGAAGTTCAAGAAACATTGTAACAACTGTATGAGATCAATTATTAAAAGAACTGAACCAGAGGTCTGAAAATACTATGGAAGACAGTAGAAAAAATGCTCCAAGAGGAAAACCTCAGTCAATATGGGAAAGCACAGAGTTTAACAATTCAGAAGCAACAGGTCCCAATAAATGTGTCTTAAGGGTCCTGCATGTAAGGTATAATCCAAAAGGAAAAACCAACAGCTAAGAGCAACTCACTGAAATTACAGTCCCATTGAGGACAAAAAGTAGTCTAAGGAAAAAAATCAACCTAGAAAATAAACTTAGCACTAACTTGATATAAAATGGGCATAGGTGAACACCAACAAACAACTGTATAGAATATTTTAATCATTAATGGCATAAGAGTTTGGGGTAAAAACCCCAAATAACTGGGTTTGAGAGCTTAAAACCCTTCATACACCATTCAACGACAGAATATCCTACAACTGAAAACACACAACATTGCATTGGAGACAAAGAATGCTCTGTCAGGGCATAAGGAACCCCAGGACCTGGAATCCTTTTGAACCTTCTGGAATTTCCACTGCTTAGACACAATTTTGTTGTGAAAAAGCCAAAATTCGATGTTGAGAAGGTAATGACAAAGTCCTATGGATCATGAAAGATCATGCCTGCAGCTGAATCCAGCCCACTGTGTGTGAGATCCTGACTAAAATCACAATGGGGAAGACTTCTTAGGTAATAGCACATGTGCCAAGGCAAGCAAGTTAATTAATTATAAGTAAATGTATTTTGTATATGGACTAGAAATAGAGAATTATTTTTTAAAAAATTATCTGGGTTGGCCACAATATTCTGTCCTATGAAAATGCCAGCTAGAGAATTTGTGTTCTAGGCATATTGATACATTACATGATATGGAAAAATATTGTGACAAAGCTGACCATGAGGCTTTACAAAGCATAACAGATACCTGATTAAAGGAAGATAAAAGGTAAAGTGAAATCTACAGAGGGAAGCAGAAGACAGGACCCAAGAAGAATGAGGAACTCTTCTGTCTGGACAAACAACTGTGCTCTGTGAAAAGAAACGGGTCAAGTGGTTCAGACAAGAAAGTTATCCAGAAAAAAAAAAAAGAAACTAAGAAAAAGATCTGTGAACTGAAAAGTCGTCCTCAATCCTCATAAACTCTGGAGAAACCCAGGTCAAAAGACATTTTGGGAGAAAAATCGAAGTTCAGAAAGAAATTCCCTACCAAAGAAACTTAACAGACTGTCAGGAAAATGTTTAATTTCCATACAATTGCTGCTAGAGTTCTCCACAGGTCCTTAAAGAAATACTTGTGTCATATGTATTTTTCCCCACCCTTCAGCTCACAGCAGCAAACCCTGAGCAAAATCCTGCACAAGTGGCTGAGCTCCACATTTACTGCATTGGCCTAAGCAATTGATTGCAACTGATTGATTGCAACTGAAGCAATTCATTGTTTAGAAAAAAATATAAATAAATACATAAGAGTACACAAATACATATTGATACACTGTACACTTTTGTAAAAATGTGCTCCTAAGAGTCATCTCAAAAATTTTACTTCCCATACTCTACCTCTTGCTCTAAAACAAATTTTCAGTGAACAAAAGCAGTATTTAAGACTACCATTTAAAATAAACAAACATGCACATTTCTAAATTAATTGCAATGCCTCAATACAACCCAAACTGGCAGCTCACTAAAATTCATCAGAATTAATTTGATAATATAATGCCTTTACACTAACTGTACTGTATGAATAGCAATTCTACAAGTTTAGTAAAATCCCGTTGTATCAGAGAGCCTGGGATATAAGCGTGTTAGTTATAATATAATGAATATTCTTCAGACTTGAAGAAACACTGGTAGTTTGCTACAAACTTAGCTAAGAGGCTTGTTATCTGTACAAAATCTTTTTCTCATAGGTAACTAGTTTCACTGATTAAAAGGCTTATTTTGAAAAGCCCAGTTATAAAGGCTGGGCCTTAGAATCAAGACAAGAATAATTTAATGGCCCAGTTTTGGTTTTAGCACAACAAAAACAACCCTTGGTTGGTTTCACCTTTGTTAACAGTCACTTTTATCTTAAAAGATAACTTCTAACGCCTGGTCACTGAGGTTGTCTTGTGACAGAATACTAGATACCAATCAACTAAGCTAGTCTGTTTATTTCTGTAGGTTTTTAATACCTAACCTCAGATACAATATACATGTACAGCAGGCCTGAGGCAGATCTTAGATTTGCCACTGACCCATTCTGAATCTTTCTGCTTCTACCAAAATTTGGTATTAATTACCAACTTAAGACACAGAACTGATGTGTCGCTAAAGGACACATGTGGTAGGGAGGTTACTTCAGACACAGAATGATTCATATGAGCACGTCTCAATGGTATGACAGAAAAAGAAGTAACTTTATTTTCTGACTCCAGTATTTATAGATTCTTGACAATGACCAGGGATTGAGTAAGTAAGTTACCACCTTCCCAATCATACTGGTCATGTGAAACATCCATCAAAGACATTTCTTAGAAGGAATGTGTAAATACTTATGTTTATACTTTCCTGGGAAAGTAACAAAAACTATGAAAACAAGATCAGAAGGTTTAGTTTTCAGGGCGACACTGATGCAAAATCTTTAGAACTGTTACTGTAACATTGTAGGAAAAAAACTTATATATCATGCACAGTAACACCTGGTTCAGGCCACTTACATTACCTGACTAATGCTGAACATCCATGCAGAACATGTTGCAGTCTGCCCTAGTTTACTTATCAGGCTGGTCAGACACTAAAATCTATTAGATATGAGTTTGATATCATATGTTCCATTTTTCTGTACATCATTACAAGGATAAATCTTATTCTATTTCCTGAGTTTGGATTTTTGGGGTTTTTTTTACTGAGCCAAAGCAAGTCAGGAAAAGAGATATATGTGTATTAGACAAGCATGAATATAAGCCATGTCTACCACTAAACAGAGCTCAACAACTAAAATATGAATAGTTAAAGCATAAAGAAACTTTTAATGTAGAAAACCAATATAACAAGTACCAATGCTGAGAATGCTGTAACCTCCATACCTGTGGCCTTGAGTACATTTTTTCAGAGTTCTGTAGCTCTTTCCCTGAAAGGGATGAATAGAGAAAGAACTGGTGCTGAATGATTATCCTGTTTGCAAGAAATAAAATCTGGCTCCCAGAGGAACAGCAGATCATATATGCTAGCGCACCAAAAGGCAGACAATCAAAGTTTGTCCCTGTCAATTTAAGCCCAAGACAGAAAAATATGACAACCACAAAAATGTTTTCTGAGGACACTTGCACAAACATTTTTGAGGTCCATGGAGAATAATATGTGCTTTCAAATTTTTGTAGACCAAATTAATATCTAGGTCTTCAATCTTTTTAATGGACTGGCTACATATGTTTCTCAAAAAGCAGCATTCTGCCATAGAAAGCGAGAGACTTGGAAGGAAAATGTTATACCTACTTGTAAGAGACGGTCCAAAGATTCCCTCATCTGTCTCACAACCGTCTCAAGGACAGAGACTGAGACCCTGTATATCACAAGGGACTTGGTTTGGGGGTTTGGGCCTAGCTGAGATGGATGTTTGCTCAATGATTGTTTGCAGGAGGTTGCACGGTACACTGCTCTCGTTCCTGCTGGTGAGCAGAGGCTTGGTAACCTGCACAACGGGTTTTCCACGACTCATGGCTCTCATTCCTGCTGGTGAGCAGAGGTTTGTGCCTGGTACCCAGTGCAATGGGTTTTCCACAACACCTTGTCCTTGTTCCTGCTGGTGAGCAAAGACTTGCAAGACATGGATCGCTCTGTACCCTACACCTGCTCCCCGCGCAATGGAATTCATCACAATGATCATCAGTCTCATCTGGTTTTGGCCCTGCGCCCCTCGCTTTGCAAAAGACTATAAAATTATACCCCAAACTTACCTTCCTTTGAGATCTCCCCAACGGACAGAAGACTCTGCATCGTTGGACGGCTGAGTGGACTTCGACGTTGGTAGCTATAATCCCCTTACTCTCTTTTTCTTATGCTTTGCTTTCTCTTTTCTTTCCCTCTATTGCATATTAGTGCTGATGAGCACTCAATAAAGTGTGTTTTCTTGTTTAAGTCCTTGGTTTGCTGATAATCTTTTGTACTCTAAGACCGGCTAAAAGAACCACATCACGAATCCCACCTTGCGGATCGTGACACTACTACGCATCTACAAGTAGGAAAAAATAAAAACCTTGCATCTTTTATTTGGAAGGCATTCTGCTGTGATTACAGTATTCGTTCTTTTCACCAGAGAATCTATCCACTGAGATTCAATAGACAAGATGGAGTCCATAAAATCCGGAATATGAGTATACACTGAGCCTAATAAAACCTGCTAGGTCTTTTTCAATTACAAGAGTGATATGAGGACATAGAGAAGTAAAGTTAGTTTTTTCAAGTCTGTATAAACACAATAATCTGAAATGCTTTCTTTCAAAATTATGTTCCAAGGATTAGAAATATACGGTCATAACACATGTAGAATGTCAAAGAGAAGCAAATGCCAGCTTCCTGTTTGAGTATGTACAGAAAAACACCTTCTGTAGCTTGTATGGGGAAAACAGTGGTGAGTCCTTTCCATGCGCTCTCTGCTAGGGAGCTGGCCAGGGGCCCATCCCATCCCATCCCATCCCATCCCATCCCATCCCATCCCATCCACGGGCCACACCCACGTGTTTGGCGCGGCGCTTCGAGCCCCAGGGGCAGCGGGCCCAACACTGCCCAGGAGGAGCTGGTGCTACTAGGGAATGCCACCCCCTCATACCCCCTTTTTTTTTTTATTTCATTTTATTCTGAAGAGCAGGCTGGCGGGCACAACGTTTTGCGGTGCCGAACAATTAGCAAAAGCAGCAGGGGGATGCTTGCCAATAAACACCCAGATTTGAGGTTAAGCAGCTGTAAATCTGCATTAATCGTTTCAGGAATTCAGCTATTTACAAAAGCTTTCAAAGAGCAAACAAATAAAAGAAGGGAGGGGAGAAGAGACAGGAGAGAAGCCGATCTGTTCCTACCTTCGCACTGCTTCCCTTCCCCTTTGTAGCCCGGCTTGCAGATGCATTTGTAGGATTTTGGTGTGTTTTGACAAATTGCGTCAATGTGACAGTCATCCGTAGCTTCTGCGCACTCGTCAACATCTGGAAGCACAGAAGGAACCCCAAGGGGACAGATAAGAAGGGAGACCTGAGAAACAAAACACCAAGGATAGATGCTCCCCTTGAAGCTGTATGCCTGCCTGCCTTCCCAGTGTCATGCTGGAAATGAGAACATTTGAGGCTAAATAACTAACGTGACATTAATAATCATAATCAGACAACGTGATATTCTCCTCAAGTCACTTACAAGCATTGTTCCACTGAGGTGGAGGGACTCAGTCTCACATTTCTGCTCTACGAATAAAATACTTAAGACACTAGAAATTAGCTTCTGCTGTTTAAGTCTGGTACTAGAGACCCACGTCTTAGTAAAACAAGAGAATGCTTAAATTACCTATAAGAGAAGAAAAAAAAAAAGACCACTAGCATGTTCTAGCACTGAGATTTTCTTAATTTATAAAGACAGACCCTAGTTTAAATAAACTATGCTGGTGAGAGAATGGGAAAAAGAAATATTTAAATAGCAAAACCACATTAATACTTTTTCCTGGGAAGCAAAAAAATAAATAAATGGAAGACCATATGAAACTCGGTACGGTAGAGTGGAGGAAAGTAACATGCAATAGCATCATCTACTAGGACTAACACTCATTTAAGAGGAACAAAGTCCCAGCAGTCCTCCCAGCCTCTGCTCGGGTGTGTGCCTTACTGGGTAAGTCTGACTCTGAAAGGGGGGACCCAGACCGCTTTTCTTTTCAGTGTAGGGAACATTACAAACATTTCAGCGAAGGACATTCGTTCTGTCCCCGGACTTAAAGAGGCTGGGGAGGGAGGAGGATGAGGCAGAGTCCAGATTTGGCAGTCGTGGGAATGCTGATGAAGGGAGCATGGGGGGAAACCCCCAACCCCGACCTACTGAGGGATGGGGTGTGCTGGGAACATGGGAACACTTACAGCCCTGCCTGAGCTGCCTCGCCCCCCGCGCTGCCCACAGCCGCTGCCCGGCCACCCCGGCACCCGGAGCTCCCGACACCGGGAGCCGCGATGGCATCGCAGCCCGGGCACGGCAGCCGTCAGCGCGGCCGTGCTGTCAATCC